AAAAATTATTGTATTCATATTACGGAGTGGTTCATATAACTGCGTGTTCATACTATCGCGATTGCACTGTATTATATCGGACTCTGTATCTTCGGGCATCTGTAGCTTCTAGAATAAATAAATTGGGAATTTTATTTAAGTGTAAACCTAAAATACGTATGAGGATGTATTTCACGAAAATATTTCAATTTCTATAGGGTGGCTCAAAAAAGTGTGAGTGGATAGGAATGATTTTTTTTTAAATGGAACACCCTGTATATTATTGCATTTTTGGCTTCCTTTCAGATCATTTTACATAATCTTAAGATATGAGTAAATATATTTTGATAGTTTCAGAGATATTAATAAATAAATAAAAAATATATATATATTTCAACCTCCACTAAAAAAATTATTATAAATACAAGAACTGTCCTAAAATCAAAACCATATTAGGTATTTACTTTATATGGTCTATACTTACTTTGCTATAAATATTGTAGTCTTAAATCATACAAGATGTTCAAAATTCTACGTCAAACTTTCTGAAATATGAAATAATTTTTCTTTTTTTGTTAGATGGAGAATTTAAAAATAAACATTTTTTGTATTGAAAGTAATTCAAAATTTTTACACGCAGTATTATTTCATATGGCTCTCTCAACGGTAAAATACGAGAGAAAAATCATTGGGTGGCTTTGATAAAAATTTACTGTGGAAAATGCCATATAACCGCGAATATCTGCGAAACCTTTAAAAATTCTGAAATACTAGAAATACTAGAAATGTTCATTTTTTAACTCTCCATCTATTGAAAAAATAATATATAGGGTGTTCCATTTGAAAAAACGAAGAAAAATTATTTTATATTTTAGAAAGTTTGGCGAAGAATTTTGAGCATCCTGTATGATTTACGACTACCATATTTATATAGGGCTAGGAACCTTGAAAATACACATTACGTAATCATAACTGGAGACTTTAACGCCAAGATAGGGAAGAAGCAACCGGGTGATACAAACTACATAGGAAACTTTGGTCTCGGGGAAAGGAACGATAGAGGAGACATGCTTGTAAACTTTCTCAACAACGAAAAATTATACTGTATGAATACTTTTTATCAAAAACACACTCAGAAAAAATGGACATGGCGGAGTCCAGACGGACGAGTAAAAAATCAAATAGACTTTATCCTCACCAACAAGAATACAATCTGTAAAGATGTCGATGTGTTAAACAGTTTTCATACAGGAAGTGACCACAGACTAGTACGCGCCAAAATACAAATCTATACTAATATAGAAAGGAGAAAATTAATTACCAGATCAATGTTTCCTACAAGGGACGCTCTGCAACTAAATCAGGAAACTTATCAAAAAGAGCTTGAAAAGAGACTAAAGCCACAGACACTCAGAGATCAAGACCCCAACGACATTCTCAATAATCTAAAGCAGGGCATAACTACAGCAACAAAGAAAATATGTAGTAAAATGAAACACCCTTCGGAAACTAAATTAAAACCAGAAACGACAAAACTAATAAGGGAAAGAAGAAAGACTGACAGAGATGCCCCAGAATATGACACCTTAAATAAAACAACTAAAAGAGAAATAAGAAAAGATCTAAGGGAGTATAAGAGAAACCAAATTTTGGAAACAATTGAAAACAATAGAAGCATGAAAGTGTTAAGACGTAAGCAAATGCGCGGAAAACAAAAAATAATAAAGATAAGAAACACATATGGCATTATAACAACAGACAAACATGAAATTAGAAATGAAATACACAAATTCTACGAACAACTTTAACAGTCTGTTATACCAAACAAAGATAGAGTACAAAAACACATCACAAACGTAGGATCAGAAGAGATGCTAGAAATATCAACCACAGAAATTAAATACGCACTTCAACAAATAAAAAATGGCAAAAGCCCAGGAGAAGATCGTATTACACCTGAAATGCTGAAGATGAGCGGAAAACCATTAGTGGATGCCGTGGAAGTATTGTTAAATAAATGTCTGATGGAGGGTAGAATCCCGGATGCATGGAAAAACGCAGAAGTTGTGCTATTATACAAAATAAGGAGATTTTACAAATATAGAGAATTATAGACCAATACGCCTTCTCTCGCATCTATACAAGCTCTTCACTAGGATTATCAACAACCGACTGTCTACGAAACTAGATTCCTATCAGCCAATAGAACAGGCAGGCTTTCGAAAAGGTTTTAGTACCATCGATCATCTACAAACAATTAAAACAGTCATTGAAAAAACAACAGAATACAATATACCTCTACATTTGGCCTTTGTAGACTACCAAAAAGCCTTTGACAGCATCGAAACCTGGTCATTTCTAGCTGCAATGGAGGACGCGAGAATTGATTCCAGATATTATTCCATTATTAAAAATATCTATGATAGTGCAACCTTCCAAGTTAAATTAGATGATGACCTCAAAACAGAAAAAATACTACTCGGCAAGGGCGTGAGACAAGGAGATACCATCTCTCCCAAGTTATTTACACTGGCACTGGAAAATGTCTTCAAGAAATTAGAATGGGAAAATAGAGGTCTAAACATCGATGGGGTACACCTTAGCCATCTGAGGTTCGCAGACGATATTGTCTTGCTGAGCACCGACATTCAAGAACTAAACACCATGCTAAATGAGCTAAATGACCAATCCCAGAAAATTGGCCTTAAAATGAACTTGAAGAAGACCAAGATAATGAGCAACAATATCCATAACATTACCGTTGACAACGTTATTATTGAAAACGTAGACCATTATATATATTTAGGTCATAAAATCAAGCTGGGCAAGGAAAACCAAAATACGGAGATCAAACGCAGGATCCATTTGGCATGGGTAGCATTTGGAAATATGAGCAATATTTTCAAGGATAAAAAGGTGCCCATGAACCTAAAGAAAAAGGCTTACGACAGCTGCATTCTACCTGTGCTTACGTATGGCTTAGAGACTATGGCAATTACCCGAAAAACAGCAGAACAACTACGAGTAGCACAAAGAGCCATGGAAAGAATCATGTTGGGAGTCACCATTAGGGAAAAAATACGGAATACCCACATACGTCAAAAAACAAAATTAATAAATGTCGTTAAAAGAGTGGCAAGTCTGAAGTGGCAATGGATAGGACATGTGGCAAGACAGGATCCAGACCGATGGCCCCAAAAAGTAATCCTATGGAGACCTAGAGGAACAACAAGAAGTGTGGGCCGACCAAAAAAGAGATGGGTCGATGACGTCAGGGCAGTGGCGGGAAGACAATGGATAAGATTGGCTAGAGATCGCGAAGCATGGAAAAACCTAGAAGAGGCCTATATCCAACACTGGATGGAACCAGGCTGAGAAAGAAGAAGATATTTATAGCAAAGTAAGTGCAGACCATCTAAAGTAAATATCTAATATAATTTTGATTTCACGATAGTTCGTGTATTTTTAATATTTTTTTAAGAAAGGTTGTAAAATATATATTTTTATTTATTTATTAATATCTCTGAAACTATCGAAATGTACTTACTCATATCATAGAATTATGTAAAGTGATCTGAAAAGAAGCCAAAAATGCAATAATATACAGCGTGTTCCATTAAAAAAACGCATTCCGATCCACTTACACTTTTTTGAGCTACCCGATAGAAGTTAAAATATTTTTATGAAATACATCCTCATACAAACTTTAGGTTTACACTTGAATAAAATTCCCAATTTTTTTTATTCTAGAAGCTACAGATGCCCGACCCAATATTGCTGGACCCTGTGTGTGTATAATATAATAATAATAAAATGGGCTGAAAGCAAGTAAGATTGTAGTATTGGCTGAGGTATGTAAGATTAAGTAGAATAATAATGAAATGAACAAAACGATTAATTGTTTAATGGTTATTACATGTATTTTTATTCATAGATACGTTCCACTACCCTTTTGATTATAGAGCCTCCGCTACATCACCATACCACTGGTATGTATGCAACTCCGACATCCGCGCCGACCTCCGCATCGACCCTATTTCTAAATATCTTCGAGATAGTGCCTTGAAGTTCTACGAGAAAATCGGTACTATCCCCAATAGTACCCTAAAAATCGTCGACTCCAATCCCGAGGAGTATAGAAACTTCAAATACTCCCATCTAAAAACTATTCTTCTGGACAATTAACTTTGTCTCCCCCCCTTCTCTCAATATAGTTCTCCCAATATCCCACAAATAACACTTCACTTTCTCCCCAATATAGTAGGTATAATAGCTGACTATACTTCGCACCTGGTCCCTGTGAGGTGAACTGTTTTTAGTGGGTAACAATTCCGAGTCCCACACTCTCTAGGGGTTATTTCTATGACCGTCTCTTTCGAGATGGTGATGGAAATGATCACTATTCGTCTATAAAATATTTTTAAACCACCCCCTCACTAAAAAAAACGATTGTAGAGCGGCGAGTGTGTATTACTCGAGCGATATATTCATATAATCTTCGACAAGAGCAATGGTTTTTGCAGTCTTCGACACTTATTGCGACAATAGTCACTTAAGTCACTTTGTAATATTGAAAAATAACATCAAAAAGTAACGATAATTAAAAAATTGCACACTGTTATTGGCAAGTTCATTTCGCTCTTAAAAATTACCCAGGAGATTTGTTGACATGAGCTAAAAAACAAAATGCTCAGAAGAATGCTTTGCTCACGAAATTATAGCACAGGGTGTTTTAAAGTTAGTTAGGGTAAAAAAACACTCTTCAATTAACCCTGTATAATAAGCCATATACTAAAGTTTATAAAAAAAATTGATCTTATAAATTAAAAAGTTTGCTAAAAAATTCATGAAAATAGAACTAAAAATAAAAGAATAATATATAACACTTAAATTTGACGAAAAAAATCTCCGTTGCATTTTTTTGCGTCTGAGTGTAGTTTCTGCGATTCCAATGATGAAAAGCTCGAATTTGGGACATACTGTACAAAACTAGCATGTTTTATTTGTTAACATTTTTTTAGAAAGTTTGGCGTTACCAGCGACAACAAAAAATTCGACTATTATATGAACTTTATAAATATTTTATCAAACGCAACCTATGCAACATTTTCACACCTGGAACCTTATCAAAACGATGGAACTTTATCTAATATAAATATGATCGAACTAGTGACGCAAGTCCATCCTGATCTTAGCGGTATTTTGGTCACTTCCCACACACATGTAAAGGCCGATTGGGAAATGGTGTTAACTGAAAATGGACTTTGCTTTTCCGTAAACTCAGAATTTTCTGACTTACTTTCTCCAAGGTAGATAAAACATATACATTCTTTTTTTCCATAGCAACTGTTACAATTGCCTTATATCTATCAAAAATAATATATAAAATAGTACTTTAAACGCAAAGGTAGATTAAATGATACTTTAATAGCGAGGATAGGTTAAAAACTTTATTTCTTCTCGCATGTTTTTTAATTGCTTCAATTTTTCAAAAATTTTTGTATTCCTTTTCATAAGTTATTCGGGATTTAAATGGAAGTAGTTTGGATATGGCGTTTGTTGCCTCAGCCTGAATATCTGTTGGTAATTTACTTATTTCGTTTGGGGCCATTTCTGGCTCCAATTCAATCAGCAATCGACACGAAAAAGAATTAAAAAATATTGACTCAAAACCATGGTACAAAGAATACAAGGTATGATCGATAGCGGCTCCAATTTCGTTCAGTTCGCGCATACCACCTGTGACGTCACTAGGAAAATAATGAATAAATAAAAAATAAAGAAAGTTGACAGGAGATCTGCATTTTTTGGGATTATGGTTAAGTATTGTTTATTTTTAAGACTTCTTAGTTCGTTTAATTTAATAATTACTAAAACCAGCAGTTTCAAAAATATATTTAAAAATAATAATTATCTATTAACATGGATTTGGACCATAATAGGTAAGAATACTAAATTTATTTCTATATTCGGTATAAAATTGTTTATTAGGTTTTTAGTTTGCGATGTTTATGGTAAATAATTTTTATGTTCATTGCCTCTGAATTCACATGAGGACAGAGATGAGGATATCTATGGAAAAGTAACCACAAGAGGAATTGTTACATCATTTAAAAAATGTTGGGAATTATATTGTTTCCCATCGAAAAGTAGAAAATGCCAATGCAGATGAATGTATTGTAATTGTGATAGAAGGAATTCCAAGGGTGAAGTTTATTATAACTAGTGACCTGTGCTTTTCTTTTTATATGTAGATGTTTCAGGTTTTGAGAACAAATCGGTTGAATGAAACCCAAAATTTAGAGGAAGTATTTGCATACCCAGAATATACATACATACCGTTACTCGCTGACGAGTATTCGACACACATAAAGAAAATGGTCACGCAAGGCGTTTTCTTTCATGAGCTTTTCTGTGACTGAAAAGCCCGATACGTGATGTTATCTGCCTACCGCACTCCGGACATTCAAAAATCTCATTGCTTTGTTGCCTCTCTACTTTTTGGTTGCCGCTGTTAACTGAGTTTACAACCCTTCTCCATTGAGTTCTATTGTGAGCTGCTTTCCCACTCATTCTGCATGTTAATTCCCTTTAAATTTTCGTGGAAAATGTCCTTGTATCTTTTTCAGTTGTCCACCGGCCTCCTCTTACCGTCCACAAGCTCACCAATAAAGCAGAGATTTTGGTATGCGGTTTTCTTGCATTCTGCATATGTGACCAGCCCATCTTAAGCGGGATTTTGTGACCATGACTTCAATACTTTCGCAGTTAGATCTTTCAAGGACCGATACGTTTGAGACATGATGGAACCACCGGACTCTTAAGAGTTGTCTAAGGTGTCTCTGTTGCAACTTGTTCAATGCGTTCATGTCAGTCGACGGTAAGGCACCCAGGTTTCCGCTCCCATATATCATGGTGGGGATTATAATTGCTCGGTATACTGCAAGTTTTGTTTTTTGTACTCAAGTCATGATTGTAGAAAACCCTGTCTTTTAATTTCCAGAATGCTCTTGAGGCGCTACTAATCCTGTGCTTTGAATTTCAGAGTCAATATTGGCCTTTTCCGAAATCAAACTGCCAAGGTAATTGAATTCCGCCACATATTCCGAATAGTTCTTCTCCGATTTTATAGCATTGTTGTGATCTTCCGGGGAGTGCAATATGATTTTAGTTTTGCCGATGTTCAGCTTAAGGCCCAAAGCCTCGTATGCCCAGGTATGTGTTCAACATTTCTTGTAATTGTTGTACCGTGTTTGCAACTAGAGCGCAGTCGTCAGCGTATTGAAGTTCTGTGATAAATTTTGTACGTGTTTTTGCTCTGAGTCTTTTTATGTTGAACAGACCGCCGTCATATCTGTATCTAATGCCCAATCCTCTCTCCTGCAGTTTGCTGTCCACTATAATGGAGAGCGCTGCCATGAATATGTTGAATAGGAGAGGCGCTAAGACACATCCCTGCCTAACTCCTGTATTTGTTAGGAATGGGTCGCTCAGTGATCCATGATGTGACACTCGTGACTTGTTGTTGTTATGGAGGCTTTTACACACTGTAAGAAATTTGTTGGGTACTCCGAACTTTTCCATAATTGCCCAAAGCGCATCTCTGTTCACAGAATCGAAGGCTTTTGTTAGATCGATGAATGCAACATAAAGTTTAGACTGCTGCTCTTTTACTTTTCCTGTAGTTGACGGATGGAGAAATATGGAATCGACAGTGCCGCGGTTGGTACGAAAACCCGTTTGCGATTCTGGAAGAATTTTTCTATATGTGGGTGCAGGCGGTTTGACATTATTTTTGCAGAATTTTTCCGCCGATAGCCAATAGCAGAAATTCCCCGGTAATTTCCACAGTCTGATGCACTTCCTTTGTTCTTAAATATATTCACTATATTCGCATTGCGAAAATCCTGAGGTACCTCTCCGCTTTCCCGCTACGACATCAAAGAGAGCCTTAAGATGACCAATAAGTTCTTTACTTGCACACTTATAGATTTCCGCCGGAATATCGTCACAGCCAACTGATTTGTTGTTTTAAGCGCTGTTTTATGGAGGTCTTTATTTCTTGTTCTGTTATTGGGATGTCTAATACATCGAGGCTGTTATACTGAGGTATTGTGTTTAATGCTTCCATATTGGGGTTGTTTTCTTGGTTAAGGATATGGCTGTAATGTTCTTTCCAGCGATTTCTAATTTGTTCTTCCTCTTTTAGAAGTTCGCCATTTTGAGCCATGATTGGGCAGCTTACCTTCTTAGTTGGGCCGTATACTTCTTTTACAGCCTCGAAGAATTTACGATAATCGTGATGCGTGGCGTACTCTTGAATCTGATTCGCTTTTGTGACCACCAGTTATCCTTTACTTGGCGCAGTTCTCTTCGAAGAAGCGTGTTGTTGGCTGCTTTAAAGTTGTCTACCAGTCTTGGATTATGTGGATTTGCAGTGACCGCCTCGATATGCTCTATGCTTTTGTTCCAACAAAGCCTGTATATGCGGTTGATTTTCGTCAAACCAGTCTGGTTGTTTCTTTTTTGTTCGACTTTCCCAGTACTGCTTCGCTGGTTTTTATGAATCGCATCCCTTAATTGTGTCCAGCCTTGTTCAGCTTCAATACTGAGATTGAAGTTATCGGTGGAAGTGATTCTTTGATAATATGGCTTCCGGAGGCGTCGTCAGCGGTATTGTTGTTTTCTAGACCCCAGTACGTTCAATCTGGTCATGTTGTTTGCTTTTTACAGCGTGGATGTTTGGGTTTTAACTGGATTTTCATTTTTTGAAATTAAAAGTCGGTGGTCAGTGCCGCATTCATCTACTCTAGCTTTAATGAGCCTAACATCTTTTTAGATGCGTCCTTCGAACGATTATGTGGTCCAATTGATGCCAGTGGCCTGATCTAGGATGTTTCCAGGAACCTTTAAACTTGTCCTTCAACATGAACCACGTATTGGTGATGCAAAGATTATACTCTGCGCATGTTGTTATCAAGCGTTCACCATTGCTATTTGCGTTTCCCATTCCATGTTTTCCCAATACGTCAGGCCATATTTCCTGTTGTTTGCCTACACGGGCATTAAAGTCACCTAGCAAGATAATTCGTTCGTGCTTTGGAATTCGTTGAAGGGCATTATGTAAAGCTTGGTAAAATTTATCCTTATCTTCAATTTTAGCGTCAAGGGTGGGAGCGTAGGCACTAATGATGTTGACGTAAGTTTTGTCTGATATGGGGTACCTTAGGGTCATAAGACGTTCGGAGACACCAATAGGTACTTCTGTTAACTTGGTGGCGATTTCGTTTTTGATCGCAATGCCTACACCATGAATTCTCCTGTGTGTTGCGGGATGACCTTTCCAAAGAAGGTGTAATGCTCCTCAGTGAGACTACCTTCATCTGCCAAAGCGTGTTTCGCCCAGAGCGGCAACATCTATATTTAATCGGTGGAGTTCCTGTGAGACCAGTGCTGTTCTTCTATCTGGTCGATTTGAATTTATCTTGTCCAGTAGAGTGCGGACGTTCCACGCCGCGAACGTGAAACATTGATGTTTTTTGTTTCTCCGATGATACGCTCGAGTAGGCACCCCCTCCCGGAGATCCGATTGAGGGGTATTTTACCCTCCGGACGATAATTTTGTCCCAGACTCGAATGTTCCATCATTGCTGCTGTGTGTAAGCTGCGTGAAAAGGTTTAACTGTGGCGGTTACGCTGCCGCACGAAGATTTTGGCTGCAACTGTAGCACGGGATGGCTATGGCACAGTGAGGACTGAGACGATAGTTCCCTTGTGCTACGTTCTCGGCCGGCTAGGTGTATTTTATTACTCCTTTTCCCCAGAAGATGGTAGGTCTGAGGGTTGTATAAGGTTATACCGCCTATACTCGGACGTCAGAGCCTCGTTTGTGTAAACAGGGTGCACCACGTGAAGGTGAGGTTGACTTTTGGGTAAGCTAGGCTATATGTATCGCTTCAATACCCCTTGCAACCCCAGAATATGCCCATCAAGGATTATATAGCTCAAATTTCCTTTGATCGTAGGCAATTATTCAATGCAAATTAACTTTTTAAGTGACTGAAATATTAAATAGTTTACAATCTGGTATATCACTGTAAAACTATATTACTTTTAGGTACAATTAGGGCCACATACACTTCAAAAAGTAGAATATTATTTTATATTAAATGAGGTATTGTACCAACAATCAATTTATATTAATACCGCAGATTAAAAAATAACAGAATAAATAGTTCTTTCTTTTTTATACTACAAAATTAACTATAGAATACAACAGTATTTAAAAAAAGTTATGTCCCGCCGAGATTCGAGAACTCCGGTCTCTCGCTTCCTAGCCCAACTCCTTACGCACTGCTCCACAGTAACTTGCTTAGCGATAATTCAATGACGGTATATAAACAAAAAAACAGGTTTATAACAATACCTTGACGATTTGAACTGGCGCGCGGAGCGTGCTGACCAATAGCGCCTGTTATCACCTGTGACGTAGCGACCAACCTGCGCAATATCATACCTTGTATTCTTTGTACCATGACTCAAAACTGAAAACTAAAGAGACAGCTTTATTTATTTGTCAAATTGCATAGAAACCAATGCCAATCCAGCACAATATTTTTTCTACTCGTAATAAATTCCTTGAAATAATAATTTCTGAATATTTTTTAAAACGTAACTCGCTATGAAAAAAAAATGTTTTATACACGACGATAAAATTAGAAACGATAAAATAAAATAACGATAGAATTAATCTTTTCGGTCGACGATAAAATACCATTTTATCGTCTTGTGTAAAAAATAACTTTTAAAAAGCTTATTTACATGTAATTATTTTTAAAATCTATATTATTAACTTCAATACAAAGAGAGGTAATTTTAGATATTTTACTCAGTTATCTAAAGTAATTTCTTAAGTTTTTGACTGCTTTTTTTGTTTAAAGTTATAAAAGGAAAAGCTCAAAACTGAGGACGACTAAAGGCAATCTAAAATGTCATTATCTTAACGGTCTCTGTTACGCTAGATATGATTCTGATCCAGAGATGCCTATTATGGTAAGTACAATAAACGTTTTTGTGTAGATTCAATTCAAATAGAAAAAAGTTTTGCAAATAGTCTCTTCGTTGTTTCTTGGTAGCAGTTTAAACTCAAAATTTAGTTTAGTTTGAGATATATTGAATTCTAATAGATGTACAACATAATGGAGTTGATGTCTGAAAATTTGTGTTCACCTGATCGGTGGATAGAGTACACACCAATAGAATTGCATCACTTTGATTGAACCATTTTTAATCCTCTCTTGGAAAACGTATATCGTCTAAGTCGTTAGACGAATTAATTCAGAAAGGAAGATGGCAATGTAGAATGTAGAATGAATGGGGGGGGGGGATTTATCATTGCGATCTTAAATATCTATTGTGTCCCCCTTCCTTGAGTTATAATATAAATATAACTGTTAGTAGTTGTTTTACTAGGGGGGAACCAGAGTATTTCCCATTCTCCTCTGACAACAGATGTTCTTCCTTTGAGGTATATATACCCTTCCACGGTTGGGGTTTGGCCCTCCGTGCCCTTCACAATCGAGGAGCTTATCTCCGGCTGAGGTACCCGTGACGTGGAGGTTGGAAGATCTGTCTCTATTTTCTCCCCCTGTTTAACTTGGTCTCTCCTTAGACTTGATACCGGTGTTTTCCCGAATCTATAATAGAGGATATCTCTTTCTCTATTGCCTCCTTGGATCTGAGATCAATTCCTATTGCGAGGATATGATCATTGCCTGGAAACTTATATGGTGAAATTTTGATAAAATAATTTAGTACACACTAAAAACACGGTATGTCGCTAGTGGTAGGAAAAATAATTTTTAGAGGTTACTCGTTTATTTAGTTGCCTGGGATATGCATATACAGGGTGTTTCCTAATTAATCTAAAAAATAAAAAATTGTTAGAAAACGAATTAAGGCGGTCTCTTAATAAGTATATTTATTTTTTTCTCGACAACCGTTTGATGAACAAGAAAAACTCAAAAGATTAATTTTGTTGAAAAAGGATGGTCAGTCAAGAAAAAAAATATATTTTCTTTAAAAAAACAGTGGTATACCATTTATGTTAAGCAAAAAAAATCTATTTTTAAATTTTAACACCCTGTAGATCAGAAAGGAAGTACTTTAGACCCAATGGTTATATAAAAATTGTTTTAAGAACACATGAGGAATCACACCATAATTTTTTTAGACTAATTCGAAAACACCCTGTATATTGTCAACTTGACAATGACTGCTGATAAATCAAAAAATACCTTTTCAGTGAAAAAAGCCTGATTTTCGCAGGAAAAATTCACAGTCCTTTACAAAGATGCAACCGGGGGGGCATTGAAAATGATGAATAAAAACGTAAAAATATGATTAGTATAAATTAGTATATGAGTGTATTACATACATATGTTTAAATAACGAACTTAACAAAAAACAACAGATTTAAAGATTCACTGAAAAAGTAGTAATGTTAACATTAAATATAACATTATCAATAATAATTATGCGATCGCACCTATCCGTAAAACAAGCAAGCAAAAAAACCTCGAAAAAAACAAAATAACATACAAAACGTCAGGTTAACATGATGACAGATCATGATCAATGACAGATAAAGAATTCTTACGGAAAGTTACACTTTACGATATAACTTTTTACCTGTTAAAGACAAACCCCGTTTAAACACAAAACTTTTTAATACCTACTACTGTATCTAAAAAGACTTTTTTTTTAAATTACTAAATTCTTAGCCACGCTTCTGTTTTCTTGGCTGTTGTGCGTCACGTCACAGATTAACAGGCCCACGTTTGCACCACAAGGCGATGCTGCAGACCACTAGGTAGACCGGTCGTAGAAATTTATGTTATACAACTTGTAGTCAATCTACACAAATATTATCAAAAACTTTTTTTCTTTTAAAATGTGTTCAGATTTTGTAAAAGTATAAGTCAAAATCGCAAAACTTAAATTTGATATGAGTTTCTTAGTTTTTTAACTAATATAGTGGCGGAATTACAAAAATTCCTTTTCAATGAAAATTAATGAGTTAAATAAAATAATTTAATAAATTACTAGCTTTTTTCTCGCGACTACGTTCGCGTTACACCTCGAATCGTTTATGCATTGATTTAAATGATTTTTTACTTCTTTATAGAGAGCTAGTGAGCATATAGATGTTTTTATTTTTCATCTTTTTTTATTTTCCTCCATTTAAGAGCACTAATACTCTCTTTATAGGTTATTTTTTATTCTTTGAAGGATAATTGAGGAAAATATATTTCGTTATGATGTCACTAAATAAACCCTTGTATAAAATTTTATACTGTCTGGTTTATAATGTTATAGTATTGCATTTTCGTACAGCAAACTTTCATTCCCTATTCTACTCCCAGGGTATAAATTTCATATTAATTCGCTTTACCTTTGTGCCAATTTTTATGTGTATAATCCAGAGGTCACCAAGTTTTATATAAATTTTTACTAACTTTACCCATTTGGTTGATGAATTTCAAAAATTTCTTCTAATTCTTTTTGTAGGATTTCATTCTTCTAGACCAAATAGTAAGGAATTTTCATACAACAAACTGTTCCGAGATAATTTTACTCTCTAAGAGGATGAATTAAAAAAAAAATCACTTTGTGTAGCTAATTCACTAATGTCGTTTAAACGAACCTTTGTGCTAATATTTATGTATCTAAAGCTGGCGGCATGAACTCACTCTAAAATATCTAAAAACGTAATATATAATCTAACTGACACACCACTGACAATGACAAATAATTTATTTCTGGAGGTATTGTGTGTAGGTGTTTTTTCAGGTATGTTTTAGAGTATTTAGTCGTTTTACACAAAAGAAATAGCCATTAAGCACTATAAAAATACTTCATAACAAAATCTACACATATATATATCTTTCATTTAAAAAAAAAGAATCATCAAGATTGGTAAAGCGGTTTCGGCGGGATGGATGCAACAAAAAAAAAAACCTTTGAGCTTTTATGTATGGATTTATTATATGTATGGATTTTATGTATGGATTAATTATTTTCCAACATATTTTACTTTGCAAATTTTTTATAAATATTCAGACTCACCAATATCGTACTCCACCGTGTCCAGCCTGTTTAGCCAAACGTAGGCCGATTCCTCTTCGGCGGCGTCGTGACCCTGGCTGGAAGGAAGAGTCTTGAAGACGCTCATCTGCGCATAGGAATAAGTTGACTGCGTAGCGTATGTGCGTATTAATCGATTCTGAAACTTTCTATCTCGTGTATAACATGTTACGCAAGTTTATTATTTTAATCTCGATTTTAAATAGATAAATGTGTGAAATGCCACCTGAATATCTTCCGCCATGACATGTTTTTACTTTTTTGTTATGGTAAAAGTGATTTAATATAAACTTTATTCAATAACGTATATTTTCCTCCATTTGGTGATTTTTTAATTTTAAGCGAAAATTAAGTATAACATTTTAGGAAAAAGAAACACTGTAATATTTAAAAGGAATAGAAGAAATTAGTCTTATTTTGAAAGGAAAATATAGAGAAAACTCTTTCTATACAAAAGTCTCTTTATACTAACCAGAACTCCGGTGACATATACGCGGTCTCACCGGAAACATTTACTTCGTTATTACTTCGCATAACTTGAAGAATATCTACTTTTAATAATGAACACTTCCGAAATACACCAGTAAAAACATTTATTATTTGAGATTAAAACTCAAATTAAATTATAAATATTAGTTACCTATGTTGTTATAGCTTTTATAGGCCTGTTTAACGACTTAATAAGTTACCTAGCGAAAAAATCTGTGCGCGTACCTACCACTATTGTTACAGGTTAATTCGTTAAAGAAATATGTTACACAAGTTAAAAACGCTAATGAGAAATTTTGGTATTTAATTTGTATTTTTGGCATTAGTATACAGACATTTGTCAGCGGTTTACTCCTTGTAGATAATCAAAAGTTTTTTTGATAAAATTTGCTTTTTATGTCAGATCATTTCTATGAAAAATTACATTAGATTTTTTTATTAAAGACGCTGAGTAATTAAAACATTGACTAATAAAGCTTGTCCACTTTAAATAAGGGGTCACTGAAATATCCTCCTTGGAGTGTTTGGGTTAAAGGGTGTATAATAAATTAATCGTTGTTTTATAATAAAACCATAAAACATTTATTTGTGAGTAAAAATAATGCAATGGTTGGATATCTCTCCTTTATAATTAGGTGACTAAAAATACACTAAAATTATTAGAAAAAAAATCTTGTACTTATTTAGTAATTACGTCAATATTAATTAATTGACTTTCTAGTCTATTTTATTTTATATACAAATATATTATTAAATTTTAAGCATTAAGTAATAAAACACTTTGTGGGGGGGCCCTCTTATATCGTAAGAGGTTACGAAATATACTCCTGGTTACACCCCTTACAGAAAACAGTGTAAGGGGTGTAAATAAATTGTATAATCACTGTTTTTTATAATAAAAACTATAAAACATTCCTTATTTGTGAGATTAAAAAAACAAAACAATGCATTGGTTAAAATAAGTACATTCAATACATATGTATGTGTTATAACATAATATAGCCATATACATACTATTATACTATTATTATTAAAATAATATGTGTGTAACATATTTATTTACCGAATTAACCTGTAACAGACATTTATATGCCCAGTATATTTTTGTTTAACAAACCAATCAGGAAAAATCCAAAACCTACCGTTATAGGAGGTATAAGATGATTAAACTTATATAATGACAACTACTTATCGGATAACAAATTAATTACTACTGTCAGCTAGTTCAGCTACTGTCTAGGTAGAATATACCTAGAGTACCTACACCTACCTATAATGTAGGTAGATTAAAGCTTATTTTGACGTTACCTCTCACTTCGGTGTCACAAAGCTGAATTTTTTCAGGGGATGGAAGTACAGTACATCACAGTACATGATATGGGAACCCTTATTCCGAAAGTAGTACAAAAATGAGACCGGGTAAAAAGGCACTATCATCAAAAATCGATATAATACCACCGTATAGAGTAAAAACAAATACTTATTTTTTGATCCAGTACACAATAAAGTCTTCGTAGGGAGTAATTTTTTATAATTATTTACAAAAAAAACACATTTCCATTAGCGCTTATATGACCAAAAAACTTTAAACATGAATAATCATTTCAATCATGCGAAAATTTGCTTTAAAATGGATTTTTTTAATATAACTTTCATTTAACGAAAAACGAAGGCCTAAATGAGAAAAAAACAATTTAAAAGTTTCGCTTATGTCTTGATTAAGGTATCAAAGCAAACCCCATATTTTTTGCTTTTAAACTAATAAAGATATATCAATAAACAATTAGCGATGTAATGGTTTTTGCGCGCGCTGGCCGACTGCCGCCGCTGCGTCGAGATTTCCTATACCCTTGTATATATGACGTCATGGTGTGGCAAATGTAGCATTTTAATTTGATTTGGGCTCCCTTATATAGGATAACAGAAACATTTTCAATGTTAAAATTTTGATTTTTATTGAATTTGGGCCTGCGTTTGCAAATATTCGTTTGTTTTTTAATTTTCTGTCTATCTAAATTTTAAATATCATAGTCAGAAATAGTTTTATTATTTATTAACTGTAAAAATGGTGTTTTCTTGTTGTGTTGTGCAAAACTGCAAAAATGTACGTGTTTCCAAAAGACGATAAGGTATGTATCTTAGAATAAAAGAAAACTATATGGTATGTATTCGTTGTTTGATTTTTTTTCGTTCGCTTTAAAATCTATAAATCTCGGTCTATTCATTAGACAGCCAGTCGACCGATCATTTACATGAAACTCTGTAAAATTAATAAAAAAATAAATTGTAAAATATATATATATATATATATATATATATATATATATATATATATATATATATATATATATATATATATATATATATATATATATATATATATATATATATATATATATATATATATATATATATATATTCTTATGTTTTATTAAAGTTACTCTGATATACTAATATATCAGTGTAACTTTAAAAATAAATCCTATGAATTCAAATATAAACATTAAAAACATTTACAGCAGAAAAGGCGAAGGCGCTGGGTTAAACGTAGTCTCCACTAAAAACACGGCGGGGCGCTTTGACCCAAAATTTTACTATTAAGTTTCATATCTATCTTAATAGTAGATTATTTTCTTTTATCTATGGATATGATCATGATCCTCCACCCTGGAGTTGATGACTTGCCAACTCGCTGTCCTTGCATTGGAATTCTGAGCCTGGCAAGCTCAAGGCTTAGCAGATAGATGGTATATTTCCCCTTGCTTCCCGGCAAAACGACCGTGGTGGCGCCCTATTTTTTTCTCTCTTAAGTGCACCCAGTCCCGATCCTTACCAATTCTTAAGCTTAAGTACAACTTATAGATAGGAACTATCGAAAACAAGAAATAGCCATCTTATCTGATAGTCAAGCAGGGTTAAAAGCGATCAACTCAGTATCAATCAATTCGAAATTGGTCAAAGAATGCATAAAGAAGCTGAATAAATTAGGCAAAGAAAACTTCCAAAGTCCTTCTACTCTGGGTGCCTGCGCACCAAGGGATAGAAGGCAATGAAAAAGCAAATGATCTAGCTAGAATAGGAGCGAAGACTCCACTAACTGGACCAGAACCGTTCTGCTTCCCAAGTGGTAACCAACTAAAGGCGGAACTCAAGAACTTGGAAAACTCCATCAGCAACCCGGAATGGGAATCTCACAACGGTCTAAGACACTCGAAGAAGCTTCTGAGGGCTTACGACCAAGAAAAATCAAAGATCTTGGGATTGTCACGGGGTTTTTAACAGGACACTGTCTCCTCAATGAACACCTCAGTAGATTGAAACTAAGAAGAAACGGCGAATGCAGATTCTGTGGGGAAAATGGGGAAACACCAGAACACCTTATCACTGAGTGTGCCGAGACGACAACCATTCGTGCCATGAACTTTGGTACGACTGATATTGAAGATGGAGAACTACCCTCTGTAAAACCGTCCGAGATACTGGCTTTTGTCAAAGCCCTGGGACTGTATGATGAGTTTTAACTCAAGAAAGAGGGACACAATAGATCTGTAAGGTCGCAGTGATTAACCCCCTTCCCACTCATTCTAAATTCTAAGCTTAAGTGCCATTTCTACCAACCAATCCACCGAATACGAACGATTAGAAAAATGCCCACCCGAAAGTGTATCCCTACAAAACGCAGCTGACCCGCATGTTGTGGACCGTTGCGTTGCAATTCGCCCGCTACACTACTTTATCCAGCATCGCCTCTGGGGACAATGTGACTCATGGCATATCTTGAAAGGTCGAGCTTTGTTTTGATCTTCGTTTACAGTTGCTTCTTTCATCCCAGCATTTTCAAAAATTTTAAAATGCGATGTTTTTGATTTTATTTCTCATCGTAAGAAAAATTCATAAGCTGGAAAATTTTAATCCAAAAATATTTAAACCAATTACCATTTTAGCAGACATACTTGTTGGTACTTTTATATCGTACATATTTTTTGACTAAGTCAAAAGCATTTAACTAACTAAACGTGGACTTATGTTTTTTGGGATAGACCACGATACGCCTCGATGAGTGCTTAATAGCACTCTAATGTAGATCTAATGGCTATTTTGTACCGTATTGTCGAAGCGATGGTTATGAAATGAAGATCGCTGTCATTTTATATGTAAAATTGTATGGAGATTGTCATCGATCGTCATTTCCAAGCCAACTGGATGCTGTTTTTTTCGATGTTACGGTATTTTTGTATGGTTGAAAATGGTTTCCTGCTATACAGGGTGGTCCGAACTGTATTCCGGAAGCTGCAGCCTTCCGAACTTCAGCAGCATATTCTGCACATAAAAATAAGTAAAAAAGTTCATATAAATGTATGTCCGAAAATGCTTAGTTTTGGAGATACAGGGTGTAGAAGTTTCATTTTCATTTACATTTTTTCCAAATATTTTTTGAAGTAACGTCAATATTTGGATGAAAATTGGTGTCTAGGAGTTTTTTGACATGAGAAATTTGATTTTGATGTCAATATGACTCCTACTTATAGAGGGCGCCACCTACATATTTTTTAACTGGTTTGAAGACTAATAACTTTTCGTCCGTACCTGTATAAAAGTACTGAGTAAAAAAATATACATTTACGACGTTTTGTACGTAAAAAAAGTCTCTTGGTAAAAATTGCTACGACTAATGGTTCTTGAGATATTTTGAATTGACATTATCAATACTTTTCCTCACTGATATAAATTAAACATGTTGACTTCAGTTATTAGACTGAAATCATAAATTTGAAATGTTTTTGTGCTAAAAGTTTAACAGAAACTGTTTTATCAACATTTTTTCGAAGAAAAATTGATGATTAATTAAAAAAAAACAAAAAGTTCCCAAATTTATCATTTCAGTCAAATCATTTATCTACCCAACACTTTTATTTTTTGTCAATAATGACATGTATTGCCCTATTTCCATTCTAAATATCTTGAGAACCGTTACTCGCAGCGATTTTTACCGAGAGACATTTTTTACGTAGAAAATCACGGAAATGTATATTTTTTCACTCAGTAATTTTATACAGGTACGGACGAAAAGTTATTACTCTTCAAAATAGTTAGAACACATGTAAGTGGCGCCCGCTACAAATAGGAGTCATACTGATATCAAAATCAAATTTCTCATGTTAAAAAACTCCTAGTTACCAATTTCCATCCAAATATTTACATTACTTCAAAAATTATTTGGAAAAAATCGAAATAAAAATGAAACTTCTACACCCTGTATCTCCGAAACTAAGCATTTTAGAACTTATATTTATACGAACTTTTTTACTTATTTTTATCTGCAGAATATGCTGCCGAAGTTTCCGGAATACAATTCGGACCACCCTGTATATGACCAGATTCGAATACTTTTATACCGGTATCTTTCTTTGAAATACAATTGTGCTTAGACCCATTGGAGCTTTAACTCTGTATTGTGAATATATTGATTAAATCTTCAGTTAAAGTTTTGTATTTTCCATTACCGAAAATTTCAAAGAGTGTGTTAAAGTCAAAATTACATACTACAGCCGGCCGGCGCGCGGCGTCTAGATTCTTCACTATTTGCGAGAGGGTTAGCATTAACTCCATCGTTCATGTTGGTCTAATCCGTGTTGCTCTGGTTATATTGAGACAAGAAAATTTAAACCAAATTGAGCTTTGATTTTGCATTGCCATTTTGGCCTACGAAACAATAGATTCATAAGCTATCATGGATTTCACAATAGTATTATACATCCACATTGTTACTCTAAGCTTAGTCTTATTTCAGAAAAAAAAAACTTCTTAGTCTTATTTCCTGATAAAAATTATACAGCCATGTTTTTGGAAGGAAAAAAGACCGTCTTCCTTTTTTAGGTTGACATAATACTATAGAGAATGGTGTTTGCATCTTTTTTTTCTATTTAGCATCTGTCTTCTATTTTGCAACTATTTAATAACATAATGTCTGTCTAATGTGTTCTTTCATAACTTATTTGTTACTTATTTATTTATAGTACTATATTCATTCTTATCTTGATATTGCCCATGCCACATCAGAGCCACCCTTCCTAGTTGGTAAGAGCGAAGAATTTGAAATCAACTTCAAGCTAACAGAAACGTACAGTTCACCTAATATAAGATATCTAACACCGCAACAAAGAAATTGCAGATTTGATAACGAGCCACTGACAAACAATATTCCAGTTTATAGTAAAAGCATTTGCTACGTCGAATGCAGATATAGAATAGCAGTGAAAACATGCGGATGTAAACCTTTCTTCTATAACTTTTTGGGTAAGACTTATGTTTTACTTTATGTAGATATACAAAATATCGTTCGCAGAGCTTGCATTAAGACCTTCTGGAGAACTACAGTATATAAAGGGTAGTTTTTTTGCACATATTTAAGTTTTATAATAAAATCTTTATTAAAAGTGCTGGTAATATGTCACCCAAAATACCGGAAGGTGCGAGTTAGCAGCAATTTTAGCATCTTTTTTCAAATCCACTTGTGCTTGCTTGCAGATTTAAATCATTTGAAAAAACTTGTGTATTTTAGGAGTAAATTAAATAGTTTTTAGTCACTTTATTTTAGTTTTTTAGGATACTAATTTTCCTTTAAGCATTTCTTATTAATTATTCTTATTAACCGTTCTGGTTCGTTATATTATAGCTTATAAATTTTTATTTTAGGTGGCAAAGTGTGTAATATCAAAGGATTAGTTTGCTTGTCTCAAATACACCATTTGTTTAATCAATCGCTTCAGACTCTTGATTGTGCTTGCCCACAGCCTTGTGACTTAATTGTGTATTTAAAGGACACTCCGCAATTAACAAAATGGTAAGATATAATAATGTATAAAATTTAATTACTTAATAATACATATAATAAAATTAACCTTTCGGCGGTCGCGCTGTATTTTTTACTTGAAAGGTCGTGCGCGGACTCTGAGTCCGCATGCTAAATTCAAGTGGTCTTAAGCGTTACTAGTAGTATAAAGACAAAAAATAATATGATAATCAAATTAGCAACTCTTTATTGACCTGCTTCATTACAAATAACAAACATAAAATATATAGGTAACATAAAACACAAACAAATAAATTTTGCTTGGTGGGAGCAAAATACCTCACATTACATTTGCAACATTGCAGTCAATCCCCAAACAGTTTGCTTTGTATTGTTGATTTCTAAACGTTGTGTCGTGATTGATGAAACCTTGCTACAGAAACATGGTTTTTGAATGGTGATTAATACGTTTTTTCTGCAACATTGCAACAAAGATTCAAATGAAAGATCCGCGCAAGTTAATAATAATTAATAATATAACAAATATACCATAAGATCGAAAAAAACGGCGTCTTGTCGGCTTGGAAATGAATATCGATGACATTTTTTTTGAACAGCGATTTTCTCTTCATAGCCATCGCTGACGCCTTTTTTTCGATCATACGGTATAAGTTAGTTTGGTATCACGTTTTGCTTTTCCAATGAGATTTTAATGAATGTAATTACCTGTAAATGTAAGTATAATTTTATTATTATGTGTGTTTTAATAATGCTTAGCCATGAATAAGTACCTAATATAACAAATTTGCTTTAGTTTGTTTTTAAGCTAAATTTTATGTTTTAGGTTAGCTTTTAGCCAACTGAAAATTGAAGTAGATAGATAAAACCAGGATACGAGTATATCAATCTAATGATAAAATCACAAATAATATTCAGTATTAATTATTCTCGATAATATTTTTTTAATGATGTTATAATCATTTGAAATTTTTAAAATAAGGATATCAAGGGGCCTCAAAGATTAATGAAATGATTGGATAGATTTCAAAACTTTACCGAAGAGGAATTTGAAACCATAAATAAGGTAATTAATTCAATATGCGAAGACAAAATATGAAAGATCCAAAAAACCAATTAAAATATAAGTTTGCTTTTCCTTGTACATATATTTAATGTTATACTTTTCTTTTGTATTTTTGAATAAGAAATATATAATAATGTTTATATTGTACCTATATACCTATTTTGTATTATTTCAGACATTCAACTTTAAGATTTTTTTTTTAGAAATTCGACTCAGAGGTCAGAGTTGAGTAATTCCTTATTTAATAAGCAGCCGAAAAGATCAGTAAGTTCTCAGTACTTGACACTATTTTTGATATTTTTGAAACAAGTTTTTTTCAATTTGTTTGACAAATTCGACTTTCTTGGTAGAGATATATTTACCGAGCATTATTAATTTTTCTAAGTCAATGGATATAGAGATATGCATATTTTTATCAATATTGTTTATGTTTTTCGTCAATACAATATTAGTAAAAGTATATTATACCTATCTGAAAGTCTACAATTTAATACCCATTAATGTTTCTGTTGCTTATAACCTATTACTGATATGTGTATTACTGATATGATATTGTTAACATAAAATTGCAAAAAATTGCTAATGTTCGCAAGAATAAACTGTTTCATTAATTTGATAAGTAAATATTAAAAAAATAATTTTTATATTTACTTTCCGACAAATGAAATGGTTTTTTATTGCGAACATTATCTATTTTTCGCTATATTATTTTAGCAATAAGTCAGTTAATAAGTTATAACAAAATAGAAAGTTTAATGGATAATAAGTTTTGAAATATAGGTACAATATAATTTTACCAATATTGTATTGACGTAAAATTAATAATATTGCTAATACATCTCAAATTAGTACTTCCTTGAACGTTACAATAACAACGTTACAATAATAATGTGAAATGTTCTCACGAGGTTGTGACAAGGTTTCGACAAACTTGTATCAATATTATTTTTTTTAACCTTGCACTGCAATGTTATTTGGCGGAGGATTAAGCTACCCAGCCACCTTGCATAAACCTTCCTACAATGAAAAAAGCAATGTTACACCTTGCTTTGCGAAGTTTTGGCAATGTTCCAGCAATAAATTTTGCTTGTTGGGATTATTCAAAAACAAAAATAATGAAAAAATCAATCCGTAGAACAGTGATTACAGAACATTTGTTTGTGCTCAAAACATACGAAACTTTGACACTGTACACAGGAGTAATGTCTCTGTTTTTCCACCAATCACAATTCTGTGCCGATCGTCTGGTAATACTGTATTCAGTGCTTCAGAATGTGAAATTTATTTTTCTGGATCAAAATTTATTTCGGGCCCTTGCCTTTCTATAATTTATAAATCCATCGTCATGTTCGGTAGTTAATTCGCCATCTTCATTCAAACAGTCTTGCATGAGCCGTTGCAATCATTGTTGCTTTGCCTTATATGAGTACATCGAAACAATAATACTTATTTAATAAAAAAATATCGATTGTTCCCGTCTTTTATCAAAATTTACTAATTTTCAATTAAAACAAATCAGTAAAATAACTTACCTTGTTCGATATTATAAATTATTGACGTAAAAAGACTGAGACTCCGCATATGAGTATAAAAAGACACTAACTACACTAAACGATGTGCAAACGTACACTTCTCATAAAATATGCCGAGTCAGGAAGATACTAAGCGGCGGCGGCGCAGCATCTGATGTTTCCAGATTTTCGAAATATCTTGAAAATAGGTAACTCCGATCTCCGAAGGGTTAAATTACTCATACCTTTAATCATATGAATCCATTTATGCATACATTATCGTTGTTTAAATAATGTCTTTTTATTATTTAATTGTATGATAGGTTTGAATAAATATTTATTGTATTCTTAACTAAATATTAGGATTACTAGGTATTATAAAGTGAAGTAAATTATTTAAAAATAAGGGGAGGTAGAGTCGTAACGATAAATTTTTAGGAAGAAATAACCAGTATTTTCTCATTAAATCTATTGCTTTTTTACTATTCTTGAAAACTGTACGTTTATTTTAGGGAAACAGGATTTTTTGGAGAAAGAATAACATTTAGATGGGGATTGCTCTCACCCACAACGAAGTATCATAGAAAGGTACTGTTCGGATTTCAAGATCTAATTGGTGAGTTCTATACAGGAAAAATAACGGATTGTGTGGACCAAAAAGTGATATAAAACATGTTTAAAAAAACGTAAATTTTATTTTTATATCTAACTTGTCATTTCTATAATTTTTGAATTAACTTGCAGGTCCGTGATGCATCACAAGATATCTTCTTAATTCAAAATTGTTCGAAATTTTTGTCTTTGAATATCAGAAAATTTATCATAATTATTGCCTTTTTAACATTTTTAAGAGCTTAATAGTCTAGTCAAATTGTGTTAAAAAGCCTCTGAGGGAAAAGTTTAGGGGTAGTTCTGATTTCTTCTAACTGTTATGCTTTTGGGGATGCTGAACTAGAATCTGAGGTTTGCTAACAAAATTTCGCGACGGAACATATAATGAGCAAGAAAAATACGAATGGAGGGTGCGAGTGGAAAAGCACATAAAAGGTTCTCGTTCCAGTACCAAACAATGTGAATTCTAACCGGATTCCATAACGGTACATTTCTTACAAATGCATGAAATGCTGTGAACTGTGAACGCAATTGTGAAGGAAAGAATTATGAATGTAATATTATAACAGTACCACAAATTAACTACAAACAGTACTATATTTTAAGATTTTTTGTTGCAACATAAGATTTCTGTCATGTATATGTTAGGGTTAAAGTCCGATATCCGGTTAATGTCGACATTAGCAGGTTAATTTTGGGTTTAGTTTTGTTTTTGGTTGTTTTGTTTTGTGTTATTCTCGAGATTAACTATTAATTGGTATTGCACCTTAACCGTAACATTTACATCCGGTATTTTCGGTAAAAAAATCGTTTTTGAAGTGATAGATCAAAATACCCTAATTTTGGAAAAGCGCTAGAGCTCAATCGGATTGTCTGAGGAAAAAAAAATATTGTCGGTGAAATGTGTTAAACTATTAACTCCATTATACCTTATTTTTACAAGAGAGAAAAGAAACGGTACAAAAAGTATGTACATATCGTCGGCTTTATGACGAAAACGCGTATCTCGATTTTTGGCGATTTTGAGATATCAACGTCATGACATATTTTAACATAGCGAATTTGCGCATCTCAATATTGTACTTTTTTCATTTAATATTCGTTTAAAAATTTGCCCCATCTCAAATACTACAATTCTTCGTTATGACGAACAGACGTATGTTGAGATAGGGCTTTTTGTTATATCAATTGTTATACCAATTGTTATACTACAAGAAAAATGGAATTTGAGATAGGTCCTTTTGTTTTAAATTATGAAAATGGATGCGAGAGAAAATCACACCATTCTACCCAATTATTTTCTGATGGTTGCTTGGGATAAAATAAAACTTCTATCATGGCAGCAGCTCTCTTTTACAGTGTGATTTTAAGTATGTTTTTTTTGCCAAAAACCATTGTTAGGATGAGCTAGACTTAGCTGTGTCGCTGCACATAGCTGTATCGGGTATGCAAAAGATTGTCCGAGAATAAATGGCCGAAGGAAAATTGATCGAAAGCAAAACAACGAAACGAAAATTGCCCTGATGGAGAATTTCCCGAAATAATAATTTCCCTTAGAACATTTTAGCGAACCAAAAACTTGCGTCCAATAGTTTTCAACTCATTATCATTGTCAGGCCATTGGCATTTTCATCCCTGTCAATTTTTGGAAAATTTTATTTATCGTGCCTATCATCATCCAGCATAAATACGTAGAATGGAAGTCGAATTTGTTATCATTGAACAGGGAAAACAGAAACTCTCAGTTACTCCACAGTTATTTGTATCAAAAAGGCACGAATGAAGAAACATGTTTTTTTTTGTTTAGTTTGGTTTTTATTAAACGGACAGTGTGCTTAAATGCCCTGTATTAATGCCCTCAATTAACTAAATAATTACTAAAAATATATTATTTAAAAAATGTATTTTTGTATAAAAAACAATATTATTAAAATAAGCTACATAAGAGTATTTTAATTTATTATTGTCTTTGCTTCTGGAATGAAAATTATCTTTGTTTTCACTTGATCTAATCCAACGCGAATAAAAGTATTTAAAAATATTTGTTTTTGATTTTTTGGTGATTTTCAATTTTTTTCTTGTATGTGTGTATTATATTTTCTTGTATGTATTCCATAATGTGAATATTGTATTATTTTTTTCCTTATTAAGAACACTTTACTATCATTTTTAAATTTATTTTACATGGGCGTATGTATACTATTCGTTCGGAAATAAATGTATTATTATTATAACAAAAAGGCCTATCTCTATTAAACAACTAAAAATAAATTATTTATTAGAATTTACGCTCAATTTATCTTCAGAACGTTTTCTCAATGTCTCCGTGTAAGTGTTAATACAAAAACACTATTAAAAATTAAAGACTTTACATTTATTGGCCAAATAAAGTAAGTGATTTTCTTTAAATTGCTCTCCTGAAAAATAGCAAAAATCGAGATACGCCTTTTCGTCATAAAGCCGACGACATGTATCAAATATATTCATGCGTTAATATGATAAAGAGATAACAATATTTGTTGGGGAATAACAAAACTCAATATTTCGTTAAAATTTTGACGTGAAAAGGATTTATTAAACGTATTATCTAATCAAAGTCAACAATGGAGTTAACAGATTAACACGTTTCGCTGACGATACAAAGAACTGAATTTGTAGGAAATTTCGTCTAATTTTAATTTTATATCATTTCAATTTATGGTGCAGCCATCCTCACATATTTAGATAGTGTTGTCTATTGTTGGCTATGAGGGTCCAAGTTATCCCTGCTAATTTACCTACTAATATCATGGTCCCATCTCAGGTTCAGCCTTCTTCTAGGTCTCTTAATTCCTCGTGGGTACCATGCTGTAATTCTTGCCAGGTGTCTTGCCCATTGCCACTTGAGGGATGATGACATCTTTTGCCTGGGTCTTCACTGGTCTCCACTTTATTCTTTAACGGTCTTTCTTACTTATTCCCAGCATATTTCGTTCCATTGTGCGTTGTGCGACCTGTAGTTTCCTTTTAATGTCCGTTTTAAGTGTCCAAGTTTCGCGTGCATAGGTCATGCCTGGTAGTACACATTGGTCGAATGTTTTCTTCTTTAGATAAAGTGGCATTCTAGATTTGAATATGATTGGGTTTCTTTGAAAATTGAATTTTATATAAGAGGCATTATTTCTAAAAAAGTATATTTTTGTAGTTACAAACAAAAAACCGCAAAAACGACAGTTATTTTAACTTATTTTTCATTTTTAAACTTTATTTAGCTCGACCCGTAGGATATTTATTATTTATTTGTTTGGGTCAAAATTAGAAATTGAAATTTAAGTACCTTCCTGTTGTCAGATTGATCTGAAATTTGGTACACACCTTTAGTTCCGATGACAATACAATATAGTAATATCAATAACATTGTAAATCTAAGATGGACGCCGGTACAAAATGGCGGATTTCATATTTTTCCACAACCCCCTCAATATGGGTATCAAATGAAAGAGCTACACTAGTAGAATAATGTGATTATGACAAAATTTAAAATCCAAGATGGACGTCGTTACAAAATGGCGTATTAGGTGAGGGCATGAGTAGTCGTGTCCAGAACAGTTGTGTCCAAGATTGTGTGACGTTAGAAGGACAGATAAAAAAAATAGGTGATGAATTTGTGAAAATGTTGCGGTCCAACATTGACTTTACAAAAGGATTGGTAAATGGTGCTATAGGCCACATTACAGAAATTGTTTGGCCTCAGTTCCGTCGAACCCAAATGTACGAAACAGATGTACCATCAGTTTGGATTGACTTTGGCAGAGACGGCATACACGTTATACACCCGAAAGCCATACAGTTTCCAGCAAAATTCAATTATGGTACGGCTGAAAGAAGGATGTTACCCTTAATTTTGTCATGGGCATCCACCGTCCATAAAATGCAGGGCACCACAGTCGACCATGCAGTAGTGTATTTGGGCTCAAAATTGTTTGAGGAAGGGCAAGCATACGTGGCTCTAAGTCGAGTCAAGTCTCTGGAAGGGCTATGTATTGAGGAATTAGATTGTGTAATAAATTATCAGGTAAAAAACCATGTAATAATGATGCACTAAATGAATTAAATAGAATCAGGAATATTCGGTAGGCATTTCCGTTAAATACTAAAAACTAGAAAATAAAAAATCGGTAAAAAAACTTTTAAGTTAAACGGTTTTATCTTATGTGCACTGAAAACTAGAAAATAATAATAACCATTAGGTATTTTGAACTTCTAGTTCAGAAATATTTTAGTACTAGGCAGAATAGCTTTTAGGCATATTAGACTAAAATAAAAACGTGGCCCCTCTGAAATCCTACCTATGGCATAGCATATCTTTATACTTTGGTAGATCATGAGCTCGGCGTTCGCTGGTGAAGCCGCCACGGCTGGTTATTGATTGTCAAAATCTCCAGTTACGATTATAGTAAGTCGATGCAATCCACACTTAGTATAGAAGAAAGTATTACAGCAATAGTTAATGGGCCCCAGATTTTATTTTATGATAATAATATCTTTAAAAAAATTGAATTTTAAAATATAAGAGGCATTATTTCTAAAACCTAGTATATTATTGTAGTTACAAGCAAAAAACCGCAAAAACGACAGTTATTTTAACTAATTTTTCATTTTTTTCTAATGTTCCCTCACGAAATTTAGTTAGAAAACTTCAGATTCGGCTTCAGTGCTCCAGATAACATAAAGCACGAATAAATAGATAAATCAGAACTTACTTTCCCACCAAAGATTCAAATTGACTAGACTGCAAATAGAACCAGAAATTAGGTGACTCAGGGTAAAACACTCATTTGCGTAGTATTCCAAATCAATTAAAGTACAGGGTGGGTCAAATTCGACGCTTTTAAAGGGAAACGCTTTTAAATAGAAACACCCTTTTCTATAGGAGATAGACGAAAACTAATATCGGTGTCTGAAGCTCAATTTTCATCAAAAACATAATGGTGAAAACCGCACATCAATATCTGTTACCGTTTCGGAGTTACGGGGTGTTTTTCAAAAATATGCATTTTTAACAAATCGCTGTAACTCTTTTGCCATGGAAAATTTTGTATTTCTATGAAAACATTTCCAAAGCACCTTTTTACGTAGAATTTAATGGTTTAAGTATAATTTTTTTAAAATTAATAATTTAAGAGTTATCAACAGAAAAATTGATTTTTTATTTGGGACACCCCCTATATTTATAATTAACTAAAAATAATTTAAAATTACCTTTCCAAAAATATAGCACACTTGATATTTTGTTATAATCCCCTTCGAAATACAGAATTTTTAAAAGTTCGCCACTTTTAACTAGAAGGCTTTGGACCCCTTATTGATGATATGCCCTTAATGGAACTCGAAAACATATTTTTCCAGCAAGACGACGCACCGCCTCTGAACGCTAAAGTTATCAGCAAATTTTTGCAGCCAATTTCAAGAATAATTGAATAGCTAATCAAGATCCCAGCCGTTGGCCGTCGAGGCCGCCTGACTTACTGCCTATGGATCTTATCCTATGGACATATTTGCGGAAGAATAAAGGTTCCTTATTCTTCCGTATAATCTAGACAAGAATTAGAAATACTTAGCAGTTATGAGAGGGTATCTTTTACCCCTACTGAGTTAATGAATTCCGCAAGAAATGTTCAAAAACTGCCCCGTCTGTCCATAACAGAAGACGGTCGATATGTCGAACACCTGTAGCAAAATCTCATGTCTTGGTTTGCTATTTATTTTTATTGTTATTAGATATAGTTTAAATGTGTTGATGCTGGTTAAATATATTTTAAATTGTTATAAAATTCTGCATCTCTCATAGCAAGTATTATTTTCGTTTTAATTGATGCTCACAGCTAGATTTTTTTGCATTGCAGCCGGTGCCGTTCAAAGCCTACTTATTTAAAGCGGGCGAATTTTTATATACTCTATATTTCAAAGAGGAATCGAGCAAAATATTAAGTATGTTATATTTTTGGAAAGGTAATTTTAAATTATTTTCAATAAATTAAAAATATACAAGGTGTCCCATATAAAAAATCAAATTTTCTGTTGATAATTCTTAAATTATTAATTTTAAAAAAGTTATACTTAAACCATTAAATTCTACATAAAAAGGTGATTTGGAAATGTTTTCATAAAAATACAAAACTTTCCATAGCAAAAAAGTTACAGCGATTTGTAAAAAATGCATATTTTTGAAAAACCCCCCGTAACTCCGAAACGGTAACAGATATCGAGATGCGGTTTTCGGCATCATGTTTTTGACAAAAATTCAGCTCCAGACACCGATATTAATTTTTGTCTATCTCCTATAAAAAAAGGTGTTTCCATTTAAAAGCGTCGAATTTGACCCACCCTGTACATTTATGTTGTAAATATAGGATGATAAATTCTATTTTATTCTCCACCTACTTGCATGCCACTGAATGTTTTATTGGTCTTTAATATCAAGCAAAATACTCAATTTGATAAATTTGATACTTCTCCCATAAATATTTTCGATGCGGGTCTCTAAAGGAGGGTCATCTTCCATGTCTTTAATAGAGGTACTTTAATCATGAATTACCATCCAACATTTTTGTTAGTATTAAGAGATAAAATATTATGCTATTAATATTTGGTCTACGCAATTTGGTGTTTGTATCAAAAACCTTGTTAAAAATATAAGTTTATTTATCTATTAATAATTATATTTTGCAGTGTCTTTTGGTGGAATTTTATCCCTTTTCTTAGGAATGAGCTTTATTAGTGTAACTGAATCAGTATTCTTACTACTCGACTTTCTATATCAACATCTAGTTAAAAAGAAAGTGTAAAAAATATATGTGATGATAATTTGTTATTATATTCTAACCAGCATTTAAATAAAAATTTATTAAAAAATATTCTGCCTTTTATTCTATTTGGCTATAGATTGAGAGCCAAAAAATTACCAACAAATTGAAAGTTACTATGGAATTAGCATACCCAATCACTAAAAAAAATATATATACACGGTGGCCCATCGAAAACGCACCGCAAGGCATAACGGCCAGAGTAATTTTTTTGTCAGAAAATTCAAAAACACGTCAATTTTGTTTGTGAGGGGGACAACTTTTGCCCTAAAAATGATTACAAAATCTTTAACCCTCTAAGCGGGGGTGTCATCTCCCAACTTTTTTCAAATGGGAAGGGGGTCAAGTGGCGCCGCAATGAAAAGAGCTTTCTAATCTCTATATTTCCCCGTTTCGTTTTTGAAAATCGGTCGAGTCATTGAGAAAATATGAAGGATTGAAATTTGAAAAGTTTATTTAAACATTTATCAGAGTAAATGATAAGGATAAGTTCCTTCGACCAATTTGCTGTTTTTTCTTATTATTTCTAGATGTTTACGCATTTTTTCACTTGCCACAAGATTGTACGATCAGGTGCGGTAATTGCTAGATAGCTGTTCTGTGACTTGTGCGTTGAAGTTCTTCTCAATATCGTTAAACTTTTTAACAATTATGGTGTACTCACTTGCAGAAAAAAATGGAAATCATCGAACTTTATTTTAAAAATAATGAATGTATCGGGTTGCGCACATATTCAATGAACGCTATCCTGACAAACACCTTTATGGCAAAATTGTTCGCGAGTTAGTAGCAAAATTTCGCGAAACTGGTTCCGTTATGTATAAAAAGAGGCAAAAAGGGAAAATCCTGTAGTAAATGAAGCTATGGAGTTATTCCTATTGGGCCAAGTTGCCATGGATAGTACGCTGAGTACAAGAAAATTAGCCAATGCAAAATTAGCCGGCGTGAATCGTACCAGTATCCAAAGGATATTAAAAAAACACAAGTTCCACCAGTACAAAATTCAGTTGGTACAAGAACTCAACGAAGACGATTTTGATCTTCGCTTGCAATTTTGTGAAACTGTGAGTGAACGAGTGGCGAATGATAATAATTTCCTATTTAATGTGTGTTTTTCTGATGAGTGTACTTTCTTTTTGAACGGTGTAGTTAATCGGCACAACTGTCGGTACTGGGCCGAGGACAACCCTAGGGTTTTTCACGAGATGCACATACAAAACCCTCAGAAATTGAACGAGTGGGCTGGTATTTTTGGAAATCCTATTGTAGGTCAGGTTAACGTTATTGAGAAGAACTTCAACGCACAAGTAACAGAACAGCTATCTAGCAACTACCTGATTGTTCAACCTTGTGGCAAGTGAAAAAATGAGTAAACATCTAGAAATAATAAGAAAAAACAGCAAAATGATCGAAGGAACTTATCCTTATCATTTACTCTGATAAATGTTTAAATAAACTTTTCAAATTTCAATCCTTCATATTTTCTCAATGACTCCGATTTTCAAAAACGAAGCGGGCAAATATAGCGAATAGAAAGCTCTTTTCATTGCGGTGCCACGTGACCCCCCTTCCCATTTGAAAAAAGTTGGGGGATGACACCCCCGCTAAGAGGGTTGAAGATTTTGCAATCATTTTTGGGGCAAAAGTTGTCCCCCTCACAAACAAAATTGGCGTGTTTTTGGAATTTTTGAAAAAAAATACTCTGGCCGTTATGCTTTGCGGAACGTTTTCGATGGGCCACCCTGTATGTCATGTGACTATCATTGAGACATAACATGTCATGTTGTTCACAATTCTACTATTTTGAATTCTACAATTTTGGAAAATACTGTCAATTAATTTAAAAATTATCAATTTTAATTGATTTTCGAAAAATTCAAAATGTTTTTTATATCGTTTGAACGATGTAAAACTAAATGATACTAAAAGAAAATATAATAGAGGGTGAGTCTTAAATAAGGGCGAACAATTTTCAGGGTTTGTAGAACTCGATTAACATATTTTCTCTTTAAATTTGATTATCTGTTCTTTCAAATAAATCCAAAATAACTTTATAAGTTATTTGATTAATAAGTTATTTTATCTTGAAAATTTAAAAACGAAATTATTTTTTGCTTAAATTTTGAGCACTACTGATTTTCTCTGGGATTTCGTTCTTCTTAATTTAATCTACAACTTATTTTGCCAATTTATCAAGATAATATGTTTTTTATCTAAAAATCAAATTTCCACATTTTTTTTTTCGAAAAATTTAAAATTTTCAGTTTTTTTTTAGGGGGGGGGATATCATAGTCGAGTTTCTGGGGTCAATATACTCCTATACCATTCCTAAAAATATTTGCACTTATTTGGTTTGGTTTTGATTTTGAGACTCTCACTGTACAAAGATAGTTTCTAAGTCAAGTCTGTACCTTTCTATTAAGTGTATTTTTATTCCCATTAAAAATTAACTTATGAAGCAAGAAAAACTGAATAACTCTCAATTCTTCGGGATCACTTCATGAAATTCATGTTTGCACATCCTGAAGATTTAACTAAAAAAATATTTAACTAATTTACTGCTATATCGGGATTTATTTTTAAATGAAATCTAAACTTAAGTTTACCTCGATAAATGGAAGAGTTATTTATAGTTTGATGTACATACATACATACTGTCATTACTCGCTGACGAGTATTTGACACGCATCAGAAGATGGACACGCAATGTACGCATAGTTTGATGTATCGTTTGGTTGTCAACAAAAAAAAAATCATCTAGACAGCTGAAAACTGATACACTATTTTTTTTGTTTTAACTGACACAAAATGATAACTCGTTGTTAAAGTTGAACTAATTTGACAGCTATGTTGAAGTACCGTCAAACATATTGCACAGCCACCTAGATTTTATCAAATAAGATCTAATGACATTAAAACATAAAAATGAAAATATCTAAGAAAATCTTTGTTTCGGAGGTAGGCAACCTTAATAGCATTTTGAAGACATGAATTTTCCATTGAATATCGGAATAATATACTGAGTGTTTCATTTAAAATAAAAAAGTAACTTGCTTTTAAAGGTGACCAATGTTCAATATTAATTTTGTCTCACCCTGTATAACATTTTGAGTCAAATTTTAATTTGATTTAAAGTACAGGGTGGACCATTTTGGTTGTTTCTATAGGGTATCTAGGAAACCGTGAGAAATATTCAAATTTTAATACTGCAGTCCCGGGTTCTTTTTTTGAAAAAATCACAATGCCACAAATGGATCGTGGTTATCTTGATCGGTTTCGAAGCTAGAGGGGGATTCTCAAATTTTGTACTTTTTGAAGATGTTCGATAGTTTGTTTATTTCAACAACTAGGCAAAAATGAATTAAACATTCAAAAGGCACATTTCTTTGTAGAATGCAGTGGCGTAGTCAGACTTTTTTCGAAAAAAAATATTTTTTTAGATATTAACTATACTTATGTTTTTTTTTAAATACAACCCCCTGTATATTTTTAAATTTACTGATTCAGTTTGGTATGAACTTCTCGAAAACATATAACACTATATATTCATTTCCACTATTAACTTTAAAATTCCAGTTTATTTAAAGATATCGACTTTCCTCTTGGTAGGTCATGCCGAGTATTAAAGGAAACAAGCGAATATCTACTTTCAAATTAATCCATGTATTAGCAATTAAATAAATTCGAAAAATACGAAGCAAATAAAAAATAAGTGTGACAGAAACAAAAAAACATATTTTAATACAAACTCAACAGGTTACTTCAATCGGGCTTCTCAGTTAATATAAAAATTAAAAAAACACAAAGACTACATTAAATGTTCAGACTGCTGCCCATTATTATCTAGACGGAGTTGGCACCGTTTCTGCACGCCGCACACTGTGATATTTTGAACATCTAGCGGAACTTAATTTCAATTCCCAAAAGTTCACTTAATTTGTAAATTTTATGTTGAAAAATGTTGACTTTTAGTATCATTTTGACATATTTATGTTTAATTACAACAGCGTTCTGTTTAATTTGTAATTTTGGCACAAATTAGGACCAAAAATAATTATAATTTAAATTAGCATTTCTCTCATACAAAAAAACATAGGGATAACTACGAGTAAATATTGAGAGCTATGTGACCAAAAAAAAAAATATTTAAAAAATATATAAATTAAAAGAACTGGTATTAAATAAGTTTAAAATGACGATCTACAGTTAGTAGTAAAATGACGTTTTAACGAATTTGTGAGATTTATGATGATCATTTTCGAACTCGATTTCGAACTCGGAATTATTCCTATTCTCTTTGTATTCGAAAGAAGCACTGTTAATTATAAAAAAATAAACTGAGTTTACCTTCGACGAAGATTCCATTGTTCACACAATACGCAAATGAGTCAAAACACTAAATGTTCGGCAAATACAAGCATTGTCTGGAACCGATTTAATGCAAATATCTCCAGAATGTTTAGATTTAGGTATAGAGAAAACATCTACCATATGAAAAAGATCTAGAATTGCTGCCGGTAGAACGTAAAAATGAAATAATATACCAGGTTTATCATAACATAACATTTTGTATTGGGTTAGATCTGGCAACACTGCAACCCTAATATTATCAAAAAACAGTTTTTACCTATAGCGGAATAAAAATTTCAAATGATTATTTTATTCCGCTCCTAGATATGTCAAATAAACTCGCGTTTATAATCCACATAATAATAGCTTAAGATGGGTGCTTACAGTGCATATTGCAACGAAAACGCATATATAGATTAAAAGGGCAAATTAGGGCAAAAAAAATTAAATATTTTTATTCTAAGTATTTATCAAAGAACTTCACAAAAGCAATGTTTACTTGGATACACGCGGATACATTTTTTAAACTCAACGTGAAATTTTGATTTTATTGAAATATTATCACATACTGACATATCCAAGTAAATGGAGAATAATTCATAAATTAATTAACTTGGATTAAGCTTTGCTTTACCTTATCGAATAGCTGAAAACTGGAGACGATAATAATATGCGCAGCTTTTCTTTTAGAAGCATTAAACACTTGTAACTTACTCGATAAATAACGAATCTGCATGACTAACAATATTTTGTTTTAAGACATGTCAATTGCAAATCAAAGTCAGAGTAAAAATAAAATAAACAATATAACGGTGCCAATGTTATTTTTTCCGATAATGTTCAACTCCTCAAATATTTAGCTGTAAAAAATGTCATATTTTTGTACTTTTGTAAACATTGTTCTTTTGAATTAAGTTCCGCTAGTAAATTAAAATATTAGAGTGTGCGCCGCCTCTAACAGCATTTCGAATGTGTATGTTGGTTACATTTTGCAAAGCCACAACAAAACTATCTTGTAACTCTTCTAATAAATTTGCATTTCGATAAATTTGGTTTTTTAGAAAGCCCCAGAGAAAGAAGTCGAAGGGAGTGATATCAGGTGACCTAGGTTGCTAGGATTAAACTATTTTCTGACCTTTTAAAAATGGCTGGGTTTGGTTGCTTGCGTTCAAAATACCGCTCAAAATATAAATCAGCTGCCATTTGCTTATGTTTGTTAGACTCAATATAACATTCTAACATATTATATTTCTCAAAATTTTCAAATTTACTTATTTTTTTATTATTTAAAATACACACACTCCAATCTGTTGAAATGAAATGGCACGCATCTATCAAAGGTATGTGCCGATCAACATGACAACCGTTTACTTTGTTACTCGGCACGGCCTACTATACTAACTGGATATTTTAAGAAAAATTTGAAATGTTGAGGTTAATAGTGAAAATAAGTATAGATAGAGTGTTATATATTTTCGAGAAGCCCATGCCAAGCTGAATCAGGAAACTTAAAAATATACAGGGGGTTCTATTAAAAAAAAAAGAAGTATAGTTAAAATATTTTCTTCGAAAAAAGTCTGACTACGCCACTGCATTCTACGCAGAAAAGTGCCTTTAGAATGTATAATTCATTTTTGCGTAGTTGCTGAAATAAACAAACTATCGAACATCTTCAAAAAGTACAAAATTTGAGAATCCCCCTGTAGCTTCAAAACCGATCAAGATAGCCACGATCCGTTTGCGGCATTGCAATTTTTTCAAAAAAAGAACCCGAGGCTGCAGTATTAAAATTTGAATATTTCTTACGGTTTCCTAGATACCCTATAAACACAACCAAAATGGTCCACCCTGTACAATAGTTATATTAACTACATATTAGGCAATATCCTGGAAATTCCAATTTAGGCAGCTTTATTGAAATTTAAAATTTGTTGCTCATTTTTAGAAAATAATAAATATGTCAAAAACCTTACATTTTAGTCATACCTATACTTCTCTAATGAAACTCGCCTGTATTTTTCTCGTAGAATCCGAAAATCAATTAATATATAGGGTGTTCCATTATAAAAAAATACAACTTTGCAGTCAATTTTTTTTGTTTTGGGGATTCATAGATCTCTCTATATATTTAAAAAAATGCTCTCAATTAACCTACATATGCTCACAAAATTTCATTTCAGTAAAAACAGTCGTTCTCTTTGGAGTCTTTGCGGCGTATGAGAGGCGCCACCCTGTACAATCTGTTTTCTTGTTTGTAGCCCATTTATTACTTTAATGTCAAATTTGATAAATACTTAAGAACAACTGGTTAAATTGTGTGTTATTGTGCAGTTTCTAATCTACTTCAAAGGAACAGCTAAAGTCAAATGTCACTTAAATCAATTAATAAAAATCCGATATGATGCGGACTTTATCTGTGACACTGTATATCAATCATTCTGTATCGCTCCGTATAATAATTAAGTCACGCGTATCGAATAAAAACAACAGACCACCACCGGTATTCTGTTTATTATGTCGCCTTCACACCTGATCCTTCCTTCCCACATACCGCAGCAAGCCGTAGCCTCGCAGTCGCGGGATTATTCACTGTTTTTCAGTTGACTAAGTTCCGATTCAGACATCAGACCGCGCTAACCATCGAGCATAAAAAATCGCCGATGCGACGACCCAAACCGCGATAAACAACAAGGTTTATTTTCATTTTTAATTGTTGCTAGCGTTGACGCGACGCTATATCCTTCAGTCCCAGTCAATTCATTGCGTTCGTTCGGTTAGCCTGCAATCATTAAGTAAACTATGAAGTAATACCCGCGTTCTCTCGGTTCAGTGTGCGTCTAGATCTCGCATTTATAAATCTTTCGTCGTTCATCCTCGATAGACTAGCGCTCGTTGGAATTTAATGCCGATTGATACAGGCACGCGAGCGATGCGTTAAGATGAAGCGGTTCGCGATATTGCTGGTGTTTTTTCAAGTGTTGTTGTTTGTGGTGCGGGCCAGCATTAATTTGACCTATATTTTGAAGAGGGAACCGGATAAAATTCAGCCGAGTTGTATTGCGGAGGAGTTGGAAAGGTATACCGCGGTGGGATGGGTTTATCCCATACCGGCTTCGGAGGATAAGTTGCCGAAAATCAGTAAGTAAAAGGATTTTTTATAGCTGTAAACTACAAGGTAGATTTTCACTGAAAGAGACATAGGGTTGCCAGATTGTCATACCTAAATTTGGGGATAGTAAGCGAAGACAAAAAAACAACGCTAAAGAAACGGCGACGCTCCAAAAAATGACACATCTTCCTATCCCACACATGGAAAAAACTGCGCGGTGTGTCAGAACCAAATTAAAATAAATCTTATTCACACCTTTTTCTTCTTTTTCCTTCTCAAACTCTCCTTGTTCAGGAGAGAGTTTCATTGCCTAGGCTGCCAGAGCAATTCTGGCAAAGCACAGTACCACAACCTTAGACAAGGAAAGAGAGGGGACAGGTAACACGGCAGCTGAAAGTGAGGCAAGTTGTCGCCACACGAAATTCTCCAATGGCGTAGCATCAGAAATTAGCTTGTACCTAGACGGTACAAAATATTTATTAAAACGTAAACTAATATATCGTTCATTTTTGAGTAATGCATATACAATTTTGTATTTTATAGTCTCACCTTTAAAATATTAGAATATCTAAGTCGATAATGCAAAATTTATTTAACAGTCACAGTGGACTGATTATCAAGACAATTATTTATTTATTAACGTGTGTGTAATGTATAATTAAATAAAAAATAATGTAATAACATATGTTTTAAACGTGTATATACATATATACTGTATGATGGAAAAAAACGGCATCTTGTTTGTTTGGAAATGACAATTTCACAAATGAATATTAAAAATTACATTATTCATTGAATCCGTAAGCAAGTATGAAGGGGATTGGCTAGATTCTTTATTATACTGTATGATGGAAAAAAAACGACGTCCAGTTGGCTTGTAAATTACGATCGATGATATTCCCCATATAATTCTACATATAAAATGACATAAAAACTATACAAAACGACATCGAAAAAAGACGGCGTCAGCGATAGCTATGAAATGAAGATCGCTGTCATTTTATATGTAAAATTATATGGGGAATATCGTCGATCGTCGTTTACAAGCCAACTGGACGTCGTTTTTTTTCGACCATACGGTATAATAATGAATCTAGCCATTCCCCTTCACACTTAGGAAATCTTGGCAGGTAAATTTAAGTTTTATATAACAACTATACATATAGATTTTTTATCTCTAGAATTTTTATTTTTTTTTATAGTTTACAATTATTTTACATATTTGATAACAATACTTTATACATTTTTTTACATGTAAAATATATTAAAAAAATGTTTATTGCAGAAATTGTATTTCTCTGATTATAATTTCCTACGCCACTGGAGAAATCCATGCTGAGTAGCATTATTTATAGTTTCAAACATTAATTATAATAAAGGATATTGAAAATACTACTTGGAATTATTAAAAATAGTTTGGTTTGGATGTGGTACAAAACATATTAAAAGCATTTTACATATTTTTACAGCTATAATGAAAAAATGTACATTTTATGACCACATAACAAAAGTTGTGTATCGATTTTTACCTGTGAAATGTAATTCCAGCCACTTTTTCTCGCTTCGGCCTTTGCAGCCATACGCTGAACATCTCACCATACTAAACAATACAGTTTATAAATTTAAAACAAAACAGTTGTCACAAAAAACATAAAAATTTGCTCGGTGTCACCTCGAAATCTTGTCACCAAAGTATGGCCGCCGATCGAATTTTGGCCTCACAAACCGATCACGGGAGAATATGCGTGTTTGCCGTCCCCTCTCTTTCCTTTTCTAAGACCACAACAGTACGTCTATCCGATCTGTAGCTACGGGGCATCCGTAAGGGGGAAAACAAAATTATCTATTAAAGGGAAATTCATGGGCGTTCTCTAAATATTTTAAATATTATTACTTATGCAAAAATTTCATAAATACTAAATCAGTTTTATTTTGTTCAACCTTTTTCCACCTAAATGAGACATAATCTTTATAAAAATTAAAAAAAAATATTTTACCGATAACGACTGCACTGTTCTTCAAGCTCGGTCTACTACTGTTTTAATCGGTCTTTCTCGTAAAAGAATAGGCGATCCGTCAATAAAAATGCGACAAATTTGCTAGTAGCTAATACAATGAGTGGGTGAAGTGGTTTTGTCGTGACACATTCAACAAACCCACGTGGACTCTCTGCCGCGTATATGAGGAGCTATTTTTCAGAATGTTTCCATGAAGTCCATTTTTAACGAATTTCAGGTAAAGGTGGCGCTGCATTCGTGAGACTCTTTACTCTACTTCACAGTAAACATTTTAGTTTTCAAAACAAAACAAAAGAAGTCCCTTTAAGACAGATATATCTTTTTGCATATATTTTACAAAATGCCGCTTTTTTAAGTCCGCCTAGTATTTTTCAAAGCGTAACATGTCCACGTTTTGTTTCCAAGTCTAACAAATCCGAATGAAATATTTTAATTTTTAACTGTTTACCATTGCTGCCACGTGCTTGAAGCAGTGTTTATTCAAAGTAGTGTTTTACGAACTATTTTGCCTTCAGATTATAATGACATCTACATAAATATTGGAAGTGCACTGAAAAAAAGTATCTCTCAGTCGAAATGAATATGACTTTGACCCAAAAGATTAGCGTTTTTCAATAGGGCCAAGAATGACGTTTCTTTACCCAAAGCATTAACTATCTTTTCATAAGCTTTAAAAAATTACTTTAGAGAATAGAAGAATCTATCAGTCCAAAGTATTTCACTCTTGACCCAAAATGAATATGCAAAGAAGTTCTTGCTACAAGAACAATAGTCTCTTTGATTCATGCAAAAATTCTTGATTGAAAAGGGACATTTCTTGATAAAAGAGACACTTTTCTTAAACCAATAGCGAATACTATTGACTCGACTAAAATTTATTTTGATCTAAGAGAAGTTTATACATCATATACAGGCATATTACGAGGTATATTCTGATAAATTTAGGTTTTCCTGGTCTGTAGTAAGTAAAGTGATATTATTTTCCTCGATAGTAGTTATTTCTGCTTCTTCACTCCTTGATATTTTTTGGGGTGGTTCATCACTCTACAAATTACAAAGAAATGTTACATCACGATTAATCAAAATAAAGCAAATAAATTATTAAAATTATAAGCTTTGGTCACATTTTGAATTTTTTAATACGGCGACGACTTGAAATTCTAAAATTTTTGTAATTATTTGCATAAAAAAATCGATACCTATATTCTTATTCTATCTATAGTCACACATGCATTATCTAAACAGGTGCATTAGGTAAATGTCTCTTACCTTCAAATATAGCAAATAAATGCTCTAATTTCCATTTTTTCAGAAACTCCTTTAAAGAATCCATATATCCCAAAATTTGTCCATAAAAAATGACAAATGCATGTTAATAACGATCACTAATTTGTTATACGATATGCGTTTAGAAAGCAAATTATGCAAAATTCCAAGTGGAAAATTCCAAGCAACAAAACCCGTGCGTACTATGATGTTCGACTAATCGGACTGCCGACTGATTGTATATACCGTCCTTCGTCACCGTCTTTGCGTGTCGTTATTATTTTTCAACAAAAGAGTATTTAGCTATTGGAAAAATGGCCATGTTTCTTGAATGAAGTACTTCCTAGCGTATTTTTCCTATTATCTTAAAACAAAGTAACTTGCACTTGGGATCTTTCAGAAAGACAATTTGGCTTTAGGGAACGGAAACAACCAACGGATGCCTTAGTAGAAGTACTCAAAATAGCGGAGGAGGCACAGGATTTTTCTGCTGCTCACCGAAGACTATGCGCGGTAATAACTTTGGATGTGAAAAACGCATTCAACAGCGCGTCATGGCAAGTAATATTAGAGAGTCTTAGACAGAGAAAAATAGACGAGGGCCTAATAGCTTTTCTAGCATCATACCTTAAGGATAGGAAACTTATTATAGAAGCGGAAGGTGAGACCCAAGAAATACCCTTGAGCAGTGGTGTACCCCAAGGTTCCATACTTGGACCCACATTGTGGAATATCTTATATGATAGCCTACTCAGAAGGGAAATGCCGGTCGGAATATCTTTAATCGGTTTTGCCGATGATATAGCCATGACAATAGTGGAGAAGGATGAAAAAATTCTCATGAACAAAGCAAATACCGGCCTTCAAAGAATTTCAAACTGGATGGAAAGTAAATTGCTTAAACTTGCACCACAGAAAACAGAGGCAATAATATTAACAACAAAACGAAAGGTGAAGCCAATATGCTTTTCTATAGAGAGCGTGGATATTATTCCATCAAAAGCTATCAAATACCTAGGAGTATGGCTGGACCCTAAATTAAAATTTACGGAACACATAATTCGAACTATACAGAAATCTGGAAAAACACTAACAGCCTTGTCTTGCCTCATGCCAAACATTGGGGGACCAAGATCCTCCAAAAGAAAAATATTAGGTAGCGTAATACACTCTCAAATACTCTATGCGGCTCCATTCTGGCACACCGTAACGAGTAACAAAAGCAGAACAAAAAAACTCGCGGGGATCCAAAGACTTACTTCCATCAGAATTGCAAGTGCCTACAGAACAATCTCTACAGAGGCAGTAGGCGTAATAGCAGGCGTCCCACCCATAGACCTATTAATAGAGGAAAGGGAGGAATTTTACATTGGAGTACAGAAGCAAATCGCAAGAGGGGACCTACTCGACAAGTGGCAGAAAAGATGGGTGAGAGGAACAAAAGGAAGATGGACATATAATTTGATTCCTGATATTAGGCAATGGATATCCAGGCCATGCGGAGAGACTGATTACTTTGTCACGCAAGCTCTATCGGGACATAGTTGCTTTATGAATTATCTAACGGAAAGAAAGAAACGGGACTCAGATAGTTGCAACTACTGTGGAAATAGTGATGACACAGAACATACACTGTTTAGATGTACGAGATGGGACTACATTCGTAATGATTATAAAACTCATACCGGCTCAGTTTTCAATGCGGAAAATATGATGAAATACCTCACTGGGACAGAGGAAATGTG